CTGATCTGGCACGAACACATCTCTTCAATAGCTGCAGCTGCTGGGAAAAAGCTAGGCTATTTGTTTAGGGCTAAGAAGTACTTTTCTCCGCATGACCTTCTCACTCTATACAAGGCCCAGATAAGGCCTAGCCTCGAGTATTGCTCACACATTTGGGGTGCTGCCGCCCCGACTACATTGTCCATGCTCGATGCTGTCCAGAGGAGGGCGGTCCGACTGATCGATGACTCTTCTCTAACAGACAGTCTCGGGACTCTTTCGCACCGGCGGGCCGTCGGCGATCTAGCTCTTTTCTATCGCTACACCAACGGGCTTTGCTCCTCAGAGCTCTCTTCCATGATGCCGCCGCGCGATGTGCCTGCCAGACAGACCCGCCTGACTTCGGCGTCCCATCCTAACCGTGTCAAACTTCGTACATCCAGAACTGGCCGATACGACCGCTCCTTTGTCCCGAGGGTGTCTAGATTGTGGAACAATCTACGGGAGGAAGCTTTTCCCAGTTCTACTAACCTTAGGCAGTTCAAAAATCGTATTAACAAAATTTCTTTGGGATCATCATAGCAGCCGCGGTGTTCCGACATTTAGGCTTCTGCCTGCGCGGCTGTTTCGATATAAAAAAAAGGTAAATTCTTTAAGTTGCCATAAATTAACATTGGTCATTTCGAAAGCCCTGAGCTTGGTGTCCGGGGTATCGTTAAAAAGCCCGTTTACTGAACCGTTTCTCAGCCAGGGTTCGTGGATGAGAACCACTTCTTGGCGGCCTCCTGATATCTCCTGCGTGAGAGCCCTCGAAGCAGCAGTGCTGTAAGTTAATTTGAATAAAATTGAGACTTACCGTAGGTGTTGAGGGGCCCCTCCTCATCTGGGAGCCGAGTTACCAGATTTTTGCCAGGTCTCCTCAAGAGTGGTCGAGGCGATCCACCGAAAAACCGGCACTCCGTTACCCACCCTCACGGTTGCTCATGCTTCAGCGTCAAAGGCCGCCCCGCAGAACGAACTCGCGACGGGAACACTAGCTTCATACGCTTGATTTATATAGCAGTTGTTTGTATTCCATCTTTTATTTTTTATTGTCAGACTTTCAGATTGACTACCCAGGTTACAGGTGAACCAGAAAAGTCAGAGCTCGGATAAAAATTTTGTTGGTGAACACACAACATTCTTTTCAATTTGAAGATAAATAAGTCTTTCCTAACAGCAAGATATTTAATCCTACTCCCATCTTTGAGATTTTCTTTTTAAATCAGCTTATTTGTCGAGATGCTTAACAGAGCAAAATTCAACCCGTTTTCATACCTGGAGAAATACCGTAAATAATTGCTCAAAGCATTGTAGTTTATTGAATGCAGATTATGGTAAAAGACATACTCGTATGGATATCGAAAACTATGTTATAAATGATCGATCATAACGATCTTAGATTTTATTCTTTTGTCGATCTTTTGAATTAGGATTCAATTATGGGGAAGTTTGGTTCAACTCCCTTCTATTATTTCGTTTTAAACAAATTCTAGCGCTGTTTCTTAAAAGGTCGGTTCTATGTTACGACAAAAAGTTCCAATAAACACGGATTCGAAAGGCTTTTGTTTTGAGATACTGGGAGTATTTATTTTTGTTTATTTCTAAATAATTGAAATAATGTTCATGTTTAGATAAAAATTGGTACTTGAGGCATTTTTAACATGAGAAATTCAAATTTGATCATGGTTACACTTAATTTTTCTGCATAGAAGTCTCAATTTTTTATCCTGGTTTTGATTCAATGTTTTATTGGCGGTCCCTTAAATATTGTTTTTTTAAATAGCGTTTATCACAGTGGATTAAAAAAATTGTTTGACTGTTCGAAAAACATCGATTACTTCAAAATCAAATCAAAATATCTCCCAAACGGTTCCGCGTAGCTACTTTAGCTAATATCAGCATTATTCACGTAAAAAATGACGTCAAGTAGGTTGACACAGCACTTCCTACGCAACCCTATTATCAGTTCATAAAGGATTAGGTTCGGCACAAGTTGGCCCCTCTGAGAAAAAAGTTAGTTACGAACATGTATAACACAAAAACTAAACGGATCAAGCTAGGTAAACATACTCATACGATTAAAATTTTCATATCTACCATGTTTCGCAGTTACGCTTTCACACAAAACTTATCTCATGTGGATGTATGGCCCTCCCCCTTCCAGAGAGAAAAGATTTCCAGTCGAGCAGCGGATGCCGACTGCTACACACGTGTAGTGCCAGTGGTGTAGGAGTACAATTAGTATAAAATGGTGGTACAAGCATGCTGGAAAAGTTAAGGCGGTGCAAAACAGAAAAATAAGGCATCTGTAGCGCCCTCTAAATGTAAAAGCGAAACTAACATCACATTTTAATTTTTTATCATGTTAGAAAGGTGTCAAGTAGCAATTTGCATCCTAATGCAACATTATTTCAAAAATTATTCAGTAAAAAACAATGATCATAAATATAATACCTTATGTATGTATATCCAAAACGCACTGCGGATCAATGCTTAATGAATTTTTTGTCTTAACACACCTAAGGAATCGGCTTGTGATGTGTTGGACACATATGAAGAAACAGCCTGTATATTTTAGGTAATTAACTCATAGTAGAAACCTTGGCGTGGGCTTCATGGCTTGTGTCTTCAAAAACTATTCCTTAATCGATAGTTTTTGTAAGACAAATATAGTGTTATGTGAAGTGCCGAAGATAAGTTGCATTAAAAACAGATAATATTGCTGAAAAGAAATGGTGACATCCGGTATGACATTCGCCGTGCATTATGGATGTACGACCGCCTCTTCGAGGTCACGCTACCACCAGGGGGACCTTATCAACGATTTCGGTGGCCTTCATATCGTTGACAGGCAAAACAGAGATCAACCCGTCATATACGTGGCTGTGGCTACTTGGATACCTAGCTGTAATATGTACCAGTTGCAGAACCATAGCGATGATGAAGATATCGATAAGACTGTCTTAAGGGGAACTAACAGAACAAAACAAATATTTGAGCCTGGGTGAGTCAGTCTCTAACTTCGTCTGGTTTCAGTGGGTTATGGGTTGAGAATAATCAATATGCAAGTTTAAGTTTTCATTTCTATAAAAAAACTTCTATTTTGTATTAGCTTTTGTACACTAGGTGACAGTAGTGGACACAAATTTTCTATTTTGAACAGACGTTAGGTCTACTGGAAAGTTATGTCGATTCTGATTATTTTATCGACGTGCATATTTATTTGACTAGGTTCACTCTTTCTATCAGTAAATGTATTCACGCTGGTCCTGCAAATCAACTGTATTAGTATTTAGAGAGACGAGACGCGATAGTGTTTCTACGGCTATTGAGAAAATCCGTTCACAACACAACACATTTTTTATGAATTCCATAAGGAAAAATGCTTTGGAAGTACGTAGGAATTTACAAATAGTGAATATATTAAAGCAAAATATTTGTTTGGCAAGATTATGGATTTGTGGAAAGGCTATTCAGCTGACCAAACTATTGCGGACAGATGATAAATTCATTGAATGCACATCTCTGCGTGCACGAAGCAGAATCGAGCAGTTTTTGGATCTGCTAATAGGATATGAAGAGTGGATCACACACAATGCAGTGGTGCCGGCGACTCACTTTTTCTTACTTTTATCGATCCACCTCACTTTTACTCACTTTTCATTGAAAACATCACTTTTCCCACTATTTTCATTCTTGATGTGCATATTATTGTTTATAAACGTTTTCGAAGGAGCTGTCCTCGTTCTCCAAGCCCCACGAAATTAAGTGAAGCGAATTTTTTTTATAAAAATTAACTTGAGCTGGGCCAATATATGTACCTGTATTACATGAGAAAATTACTAGGATTAGTTGAAATCTACGTCAAAATAAAGCTTCCGCCTTTTGTTGGGTACTTCGACAAAATTCAAGCAAAGAGGACTATTTATACTTTATTAATCTCTAGCTTTCAATGGATTTTGCTATCTTCATCAGGGGCTGCAATAACATTGAGAAGAAGTGGCAACTATTGTGCAAAATGATTTCAAATTAACTTACAGTAGTATGTGAGATTGTTGCTAAATGTTATTAACGTTTAGGTTGAGGGAAACACCCAGTAACCTGGTGAAAGCTGGATACATAGTACATTCGTCAAAATTAATATAAACTACACACATCTGTATGTCAGGAACAAATTAAAATAGATTTGAATTAAAATATTTAAAACGAAAGTTAAAATTACATCGTGAACCACCTGATGCTGCACAAAATGGTGGGCACAGGATCATAAGTAGGATGAAACATTTGACAGATGTCAGAAGGTTGGTGGTGTCAGTGTGGATGGATGGAACCAAAATGTTTTGTAAAGTGTGTGCTATGTTGCCAAATCACTTCAGATGGTGTGATTTATCAAGATATGTTAAATAAGAACTTGTCAACAGACCAGAGGCAGTTGAACAAACTACATTGTTGATCAGATGGACAATTGAATTAAACAATCATTATTTTATTATGAGAAAAAACAATTATTCAAATTTGAATGGAATGGAAATTTTGGAGGGAAAGGGTGGAATAGACAAAAAAAAAACAGATTCCATTTATGGTTGTAAAAAGTCAAAATTTGGAGAGATGTGTACGTGCTCCAACTTTTCGCAGTTTAGCAAATATGAGTAAATGACGCTCAGTTGCTCAACATCTGTCTTCTTATTCATAAAGTTGTATTCATGAAAATGTGGGACATTTCCAAGAATAAACGTTTGGATAGGTTTTTTCTTTATCAAGAAGTTTGATACTTGTGTAGTTCATAGAGTGCCCTGTTGTATTGACATGAGATGCCAGAGCACATCTCTCGGGATGAAGCCTAGAATCACTTTTGTGTGATGAAATCCTTCCTTTTAGAGATCTGCAGGTCTGACCTATGTATATTTGGTTGCAATCATTGCAATTGATAGAGTAAACTATGTTGGTTAAGCCAAGCAACGGGACTCTGTCTTTCATCTTTGAAAAAATACAGTTCATCGTGAGGACGGATTTGCAAGCAATTCGACAGTTCAACGGCCTACATAGTCTGATCAGCTTAGGGGTCAATTCTGTGATGTAGGGTAGGACAGCAAAACCAGATCCGGAATTTGGGATGGCGGTTATATTGTTATTGGAATTGGTATTGTTGTTGGGAATTATATCAGTTCTTTTATTAGGAATTGTGAGAATATTACTAGGATTATTAGAATTTGGTAGAATACTGGAAGGAGAGCTGAACAAGATCTTGTTAATCAAACACTTGGATAACCATTGTTGATGAACAGTTTTGATAGCTTCCGTAAATTTGAAGTATGGAAAGTATTATCAGAGATACTGATTACCCTTGTTTTCATCTGCTTCACCAAGTTTATTTTAATCCTTAGTTTATGGTATGACCTAAAATTGAGGAAACGGCCTGAGGCCATGGGTTTCTGCTACCAGTCTACCAATAAACTATTATTGTTGGAGCGGATGAGTCTAGAAGGCACATGTTACAGTGATAATGTTAAAACAACACTATTTGGATCTTTGTAACAATCTTATCAATGATGACCCATGACACCACGAAATTAATAGAGATCCTACATCAAAGGTGGAAAAGGCATTGTTAAGGAACTCCTCAGCACTGGAGAAATAACCCAAGAACAAAAAAGGACCTTGACTACCTATAACTTTGTCCCTCTTAAATTTTATGCACTTCAAAAAATACATAAACCCGTACTCTCAGTAAGACCTATAGTTGCATCAATAGGTTCAGCCACCCAGGCTTTGTCTTCATCAATATCGGAAACATTGAAATCGGCACATGGTGATAATGATTACTACATCAAAGGCTCGTTTGATGTCTCTCGCCAGTCGATGTGGTGTCGCTATTCAGTAATATCTATCTGGATGTATGTACTAGAACTATAAATAGACACTGAGATGAGATAAGTCAACCCTGCAACATATCTCTAGAATCTTTCCCCGACATTATAACATTCCTCTTTCATAACAACTACTTATCTTTCAACAACAAAATATATTCTCATACACATGGTTCTTCTATGGGATCTGTTCTATCACCAATTTTGGCAGAATATGTTATGGATGATCTGCTTGATACTGTTATTCCGACACTACCCTATAACCTCTTCTTCATAAAAAAATACGTAGATGAAATTATTTTATGCTTCCCCTCCAGAGGTTTGGATAGTATTGTCGGAGATTTCATGACCCCTACATCCAATTTACCATTGAAAAAGAAGATAAGAACCTGTCTGTCCCCTTTCTAGACACAACACTCATCCGCGCCAACAATAATAGTTTATTGGCAGACTGGTCCCAGAAACCCATGGCCTCAGGCCGTTTCCTCAACTTGGATTAAAATCAACTTGGTGGAGCAGATGAAAACAAGGGTAATCAGCATCTCTGACAATACTTTGATTAACAAGATCTTGTTCAGCTCTCCTTCCAGTATTTTACCAAATTCTAATAATCCTAGTAATATTCTCACAACTCCTAATAATAGAACTGATGTAATTCCTAACAACAACACCAATTCAAATAACAATACAACCGCCATCCCAAATTCCAGATCTGGTTTTGCTGTCCTACACAATATCAAAGAACTGACCCCTAAGCTGATCAGACTTATGTAGCCCGTTGAGCTGTAGAATTGCTTGCAAATCCGTCCTCACTATAAACTGCATTTTTTCAAAAATGAAAGACAGAGTCCCGCTGCTCGGCTTAACCAACACAGTTTACTCTATCAATTGCAACCAAATATACATGTCAGACCTCCAGATCTCTAAAAGGAAGGAAACTTGGTGGAGCAGATGAAAACAAGGGTAATCAGCATCTCTGACAATACTTTGATTAACAAGATCTTGTTCAGCTCTCCTTCCAGTATTTTACCAAATTCTAATAATCCTAGTAATATTCTCACAACTCCTAATAATAGAACTGATGTAATTCCTAACAACAACACCAATTCAAATAACAATACAACCGCCATCCCAAATTCCAGATCTGGTTTTGCTGTCCTACACAATATCAAAGAACTGACCCCTAAGCTGATCAGACTTATGTAGCCCGTTGAGCTGTAGAATTGCTTGCAAATCCGTCCTCACTATAAACTGCATTTTTTCAAAAATGAAAGACAGAGTCCCGCTGCTCGGCTTAACCAACACAGTTTACTCTATCAATTGCAACCAAATATACATGTCAGACCTCCAGATCTCTAAAAGGAAGGATTACATCACACAAAATGATTCTAGGCTTCATCCCGAAAGATGTGCTCTAGCATCTCATGTCAATACAACAGGGCGCTCTATGAACTACACAAGTATCAAAGTTCTTGATAAAGAAAAACACCTATCCAAACGTTTATTCCTGGAAATGTCCCACATTTTCATGAATGACAACTACATGAATAAGAAGACAGATAGATGTTAAGCAACTGAGCGTCATTTACTCATATTTGCTAAACTGCGAAAAGTTGGAGCACGTGCACATCTCTCCAAATTTTGACTTTTCACAACCATAAATGGAATCTGGTTTTTTGGTCTATTCCACCCTTTCCCTCCAAAATTTCCATTCCATTCAAATTTGAATAATTGTTTAAATCAATTGTCCATCTCATCAACAATATAGTTTGTTCAACAGCCTCTGGTCTGTTGACAAGTTCTTATTTAACATATCTTGATAAATCACACCATCTTAAGTGATTTGGCAACATAGCACACACTTTACAAAACATTTTGGTTCCATCCATGACACCACCAACCTTCTGTCATCTGTCAAATGTTTCATCCTTCATATGATCCTGTGCCCACCATTTTGTGCAGCATCAGGTGGTTCACGATGTAATTTTAACTTTCGTTTTAAATATTTTTAATCCGTTTTAATTTGTTCCTGACATACAGCAGTGTGTAGTTTATATCAATTTTGACGAATGTACTATGTATCCAGCTTTCACCAGGTTACTGAGTGTTTCCCTCAACCTAAACGTTAATAAAACTTAGCA